ATCTACGAAAACAGCAAAACGCTCACACACACGCTCACAGTTCACGGTCGCGCGAGCCCGAAGTGACAGCGAAGGCGCTCCTGTATCCGCAATTTTCTCGTAAGACAAAGCGCTTCCAACGGGCGTGCGGGCGGGAGGAGGAGGGGAGGGGGGAAGGGGGGGAGGGGAGAGGGGAGAGGCTGACGGGCGTAATAGCGAGCGATTGAAAGATTGAAAGAGATTGGCGCTATTGCGAAGCTAGATGCGTTGGATTACCGTGTGTGTGTGTGTGTGTGTGTGCGTGTGTGTATGTGTGTGTGTGGGGGGGAGATAAAGGAAAGGGGGAGGAGAGGGAGAAGGAGAAAGAAGATAACTGAGGGGGTAATAAAAGAAGAAGTAGAAGGAAGGTAAAAGAGCGTGAGTAGGGGAGAGAGAGAAAAGAAAGAGAAGGAGGCTGGGAGAAGAAGGGAGGAAGGAAGGAGAAGGAGAAAGGGAGATAAGAAGAGGAGGAAGATGGAGGAGGGATGGTAAGAGGAAAAGGGAGATGTTGATTTTGGAAAGAGAATAGGAGACGGAGGAGGAAGACGAGAAGGGTAGAGATGAAGAAGAGATGAGGGAAAAGGAGATAGGAGAAGAAGAGGAAGAGGAAGAGAAGGAAAAGGGGGAAGGTAAGGTAAGAGAAGGAGACAGAAGAAAGGGAGAGAAAATACGAAATGACTGGAAAGGGTCTGAAAAAAAACGAAAGAGCGAAAACACTGGAGGAGGACGAGGAGAAGAAGAAATAGAAGAAGAAGGAGAAGAAGAAGAAGAAGAAGAAGTGGAGGAACAACAATAACACCAGGAGCAGCAGCAGCAAGGGAGGGAGATGGAAAGGGAGAGTGAAATTGTTCATTCCGAAAGCAGGTGATGAACGGAGGCGGCGGCCAAGGCGATTGCGGGGCGGGAGGCGTAACGGAAAGTCTGTCGGAAAGGTGTTTTGCAAGGCTGCCTCGAGGGCTGACGGGACTGGCGAGGGCTGACGGGGCTGGCGAGGGCTGACGGGGCTGGCGAGGGCTGACGGGGCTGGCGAGGGCTGATGGGGCTGGCGAGGTCTGACGGGGCTGGCGAGGGCTGACGGGGCTGGCGAGGGCTGACGGGGCTGGCGAGGGCTGATGGGGCTGGCGAGGTCTGACGGGGCTGGCGAGGGCTGACGGGGCTGGCGAGGGCTGACGGGGCTGGCGAGGGCTGACGGGGCTGGCGAGGGCTGACGGGGCTGGCGAGGGTTGACGGGGCTGGCGAGGGCTGACGGGGCTGGCGAGGGCTGACGGGGCTGGCGAGGGCTGACGGGCCTGGCGAGGGCTGGGCTGGCGAGGGCTGACGGGGCTGGCGAGGGCTGACGGGGCTGGCGAGGGCTGACGGGGCCTGGCGAGGGCTGACGGGGCCTGGCGAGGGCTGACGGGGCTGGCGAGGGCTGACGGGCTGGCGAGGGCTGACGGGGCTGGCGAGGGCTGACGGGGCTGGCGAGGGCTGACGGGCTGGCGAGGGCTGACGGGGCTGGCGAGGGCTGACGGGGCTGGCGAGGGCTGACGGGGCTGGCGAGGGCTGACGCTGACGGGGCTGGCGAGGGCTGACGGGGCTGGCGAGGGCTGACGGGGTCTGGCGAGGGCTGACGGGGCTGGCGAGGGCTGACGGGGCTGGCGAGGGCTGACGGGGCTGGCGAGGGCTGACGGGCTGGCGAGGGCTGACGGGCTGGCGAGGCTGACGGGGCTGGCGAGGGCTGACGGGCCTGGCGAGGGCTGACGGGCCTGCGAGGGCTGACGGGCTGGCGAGGGCTGACGGGCCTGGCGAGGGCTGACGGGGCTGGCGAGGGCTGACGGGGCTGGCGAGGGCTGACGGGGCTGGCGAGGGCTGACGGGCTGGCGAGGGCTGACGGGGCTGGCGAGGGCTAGGGCTGACGGGGCTGGCGAGGGCTGACGGGGCCTGGCGAGGGCTGACGGGCCTGGCGAGGGCTGACGGGGCTGGCGAGGGCTGACGGGGCCTGGCGAGGGCTGACGGGGCTGGCGAGGGCTGACGGGGCCTGGCGAGGGCTGACGGGGCTGGCGAGGGCTGACGGGGCTGGCGAGGGCTGACGGGGCCGGCGAGGGCTGACGGGCCTGGCGAGGGCTGACGGGCCTGGCGAGGGCTGACGGGGCTGGCGAGGGCTGACGGGGCCGGCGAGGGCTGACGGGGCCGGCGAGGGCTGACGGGCCTGGCGAGGGCTGACGGGGCTGGCGAGGGCTGACGGGGCTGGCGAGGGCTGACGGGGCCGGCGAGGGCTGACGGGCCTGGCGAGGGCTGACGGGCCTGGCGAGGGCTGACGGGCCTGGCGAGGGCTGACGGGCCTGGCGAGGGCTGACGGGGCTGGCGAGGGCTGACGGCGGGCCTGGAGGCTGACGGGCCTGGCGAGGGCTGACGGGGCTGGCGAGGGCTGACGGGGCTGGCGAGGGCTAACGGGCCTGGCGAGGGCTGACGGGGCTGACGAGCCTGGCGAGGGCTGAGGCATCAGCGGTGGTGCGAGGATTTCGAGGGGGGGGTGGGGGGTCGTTCTTTCATTATGGAATGTGGTTCTTCGCTCTGATTCGTTACTTCTTCTTGTTTATAAATGTGCTTTGTTTGCTCGCTGTTTGTTTTCTTTAAATATTTATTGACTTGTATTTTTTTTATTCTCATTTAGCTAGTTAATTAATCATTTGCATTTAATGTGTTTGGATTTATTTAATCATGTGTTTATATACTAATTTCACTGACTGATCTAATTATGTGCGTTTATTTATTTAATTACGTTTTGTCAGTTGTCATTCATTATTGATTCGTTCATTATTTCATTCTTATTTATCTTTTAATAAGAATCATTTTTACGAGATACTGAATATCAATAATAAATGAGAGAAACGATAAGAAAATAGAAGACAGAGAAACGAGAAGAAAATAGAAGACAGAGAAACGAGAAGAAAATAGAAGACAGAGAAGCGATAAGAAAATAGAAGACAGAGAAACGAGAAGAAAATAGAAGACAGAGAAGCGATAAGAAAATAGAAGACAGAGAAACGAGAAGAAAATAGAAGACAGAGAAGCGATAAGAAAATAGAAGACAGAGAAACGATAAGAAAATAGAAGACAGAGAAACGAGAAGAAAATAGAAGACAGAGAAGCGATAAGAAAATAGAAGACAGAGAAACGATAAGAAAATAGAAGACAGAGAAGCGATAAGAAAATAGAAGACAGAGAAACGATAAGAAAATAGAAGACAGAGAAACGAGAAGAAAATAGAAGACAGAGAAACGAGAAGAAAATAGAAGACAGAGAAGCGATAAGAAAATAGAAGACAGAGAAACGATAAGAAAATAGAAGACAGAGAAACGATAAGAGAATAGAAGACAGAGAAACGATAAGAAAATAGAAGACAGAGAAACGAGAAGAAAATAGAAGACAGAGAAACGAGAAGAAAATAGAAGACAGAGAAACGAGAAGAAAATAGAAGACAGAGAAACGATAAGAAAATAGCAGACAGAGAAATGAGAAGAAAATAGAAGACAGAGAAACGAGAAGAAAATAGAAGACAGAGAAACTAGAAGAAAATAGAAGACAGAGAAATGAGAAGAAAATAGAAGACAGAGAAACGAGAAGAAAATAGAAGACAGAGAAACTAGAAGAAAAATAGAAGACAGAGAAACGAGAAGAAAAATAGAAGACAGAGAAACGAGAAGAAAATAGAAGACAGAGAAACGAGAAGAAAAATAGAAGACAGAGAAAAGAAAAAAACAACAACAACAGATTATTCTACCTGTCATTTTTCTATGAAAAAAAACATAGCTTTTTCTTCTCTCTCTCTCGTGTCGCAGAAATACAAGGTGAATTTCACGCGCGTCTCGTGGTAGGAGAGTGCGTTTAACAGACCGAAAAATCCGAAAATAGCGAAAGGAATGCGTTAGTTGCATATGACTAAAGAGAGATGGAGGTCCTGCCAAGGTCTAGAATGAATTGCTTTGTTTCAAAAATGGAAAAAAAAAATGCGTTGTTTTTTGGTTGATTGTAAAATCCTTATCTGGGGTAGGTTGGTGTAGGCTTATATCTATTATGAGGTTGTTTGGTAATAGGAAATGATATATTTGGTAATAAATGATGTATCAGGTTTTTATATCACTTTTTTTTAGCAGCACTTAGTGTTCTTAATTATTTTCAGTGTTTGATGATATACATATTCACGAGCAAGTATTATTATCAGTATTATTTCCCCCTAATTTGAAAGAAGTGATAATAATAATTCGAGAAAGCTAAGAGCAGCAAGCAAAAAAGAAGAAACGGAAGTCATAAAATGGATGATAACATATCGAAATAGATTTAACAAAAAGCAGCATTGAGTTACAATTTCGGTTTCAATGAACAACACAAGACGGTACGTGGGGGGGAGGGGGGGAATGGGGGGGGAGAAGTGTAAGGGTTACTGGTTTAAAGAAAAGAGGAAGGGGAAGAGGGAGAAAGAGCTGGCTAAAGAAGAAAAGAGAAAGAGAAGAAGAAGAAGAAGAAATGGATGAGTTGAAAGAAAGTGCAAAAAGATAACAGAGTAGGAAGTGAGACGGAAGAATGTCAGGAGAGAAACAAAGAGGAGAAAAGAGGACGCAGGAAATGAAGAGAGCGGGAAAAAAGGCGTAATAACTGATGATGACGGAGCCAAGGAGAAAATGGAGATTATTTTTTTTCCTTTACCTTCGCGTACAAAAAAGGAGAGAGAGGGAGAGAGAGAGAGAGAGAGAGAGAGAGAGAGAGAGAGAGAGAGAGAGAGAGAGAGAGAGAGAGAGAGAGAGAGAGAGAGAAATCAGGATGAAATAACTATAGAAATAGGGAGTAGGAAAAGCTTCGATAAAGGAAGAAACGGAATAAAGGAAAGAATGCAATAGAAAAGCAGTGACGGAGAAGAAGAAGAAGAAGAAAAAGAAGAAGAAGAAAGGGACGGAGATGGAAGGAGGGCAAGAGGTCGATGGTTTTCGAGAAAGAAGAGAGAGAGAGAGAAAAAAAAAATGATAAAGTAAACATCTCGAGAAAAAAAAAAGTTGAGAAAAGCCAAAAATAAATCGTGATCTCGCTTATTTACAAAAAAAAAAATGCTTATATTTTTGTTCACTTTTGTAAACACCATTAATGAAAGTTATAAATAAGTAAACCGAATGTTTAAGTACTCATAAACTTATATAAATAACGCAGACCACACTTATAATTAACTTTATATTTTTATATCTTTATATTTTTTTATTCTTATATCTTTATATTTTTATATTTTTATATTTCTATATCTTTATATTTTTATATCGTTATATTTTTATTTTTTATATCTTTATATTTTTGTATTTTATATCTTTATATTTCATATATATTTTTTTTTGTTTTGTTTCATTAGCGACGTCACGGCACAGACTAGTGGTTTTCTGTTCACCATTTGCTTTTACTTAGCGCAAGCGGGTAACTATAAACGGGTTGTAAACGAGCGCTAAATAGCTAAGGTTAATGAGCACGCGCATGGCCATATATAAGTGACGATTATCTCTAATTACACCCAGACAATTATGCGTCTTCAGAGGCAAGTGTTTTCGCTCGCTGTTTTTTTCTTCTTTTTTTTTTCTATTTTATTTTTAGCGGATAATCACCGGAAGGAGTACGTCATAGTCTCAAGATTTTTTTCGTTTTATTTTTTTTCGTCTTTCTCTCTCACTCCTGTTGAGATTATTTTTTGTGATTTGCTTTTGAATTTTCTCTTCGAGGTTGATTGATATATGCAAATGGAAGGAAAGGTTGATATATGTGAAATGACGCACTGATAGCACGCATAATATTTTTTTTTATGCGTGTTATATATTGTCGAGATACGAATATATATCACGTTTATGGTGATTTCTCTTCTAACTTTCTTTGACCTTTTCCTATAAATCTTATTTTTTTCCCCTGACCTTCATCTTTATATGTAATTTCATCTGTGAGTGTATGTTTTCGTAAATGTACGTTTGTCATGCAGCCTTCTTTGCTAATACGCTGAGGAAATTTGCAAAATTTGAAAACAGGCTAAAAAAAATAAATAGTTTATATGTATTTCCTTTCCTCCTCCTCCTCCGCTTTTCATACTCCCCCCTTCTTCCTTTCTCCCTCTCTCCTCTCTCCCTTGCCTCGTTTCACGTTAACCTCCCTCACGATTCTCCGTCCCTCTGCCCCAATGCCCCCTGCTCCCCACTCCTTCTCCCTCTCCCTACTCCCTCTCTCTCTCTCCCTCTCCCTCCCCTCTCCCTCTTCCTCTCCCTCTCCCTCTCCCTCTCCCCCTACCCCCTCGCTTCCCTCTCCCCCTACCCCTCCCCCTCCCCTCTCACTCCCCACTCCCTACTCCCTCTCCCTACCCTCTCGCTCCCCACTCCCTCTCCCTCTCCCCCTCCCTTCTTGTCTACTTCCTCCCCTCCCTTCCTTCTCCATTGACCTCCCCTCCACCCCTCCCCATCCATCTGTCCTCGTGCTCCTCCCTCCCACCCTCCTCATTCCTCTCTCCCTCTTCCCCTCTCCTTCTCCCTCCTTGTCTACTTTTCCTCCCTCCCTCCCTCACCCCTTCCCCCCTCCTTCCCCGGTGACCTCCCCTCCTGGAACGGGTTGTCACGGGTCACGGCAGGGAACGCTCTTCCGGGCGAGGGACGCAACATGGGCGTGGGGGGTTTGCGCGTGTGTATGGAGGGGGAGGGGGAGGGGAAGGGGTGGCGAGAGGGGGATGGGGATGGGGTTATAGAGAGAGGGGGATGGGGAGGGGGAAGGGGTTAGAGGGAAGGGGGAGGGGGTGGGGTTAGAGGGAGAGGGGGAAGGGGTGGCGAGTGGGGGAGGGGGATGGTGAGGGGAAGGGGTTAGAGGGAGGGGGAGGCGGAGAGAAAGGGTAGGGGGGAGGGAGGATGGGGACTACTTGGTATAGAGGGAAGGAAGAGGCTCATGTATTGCTATTTGCAATCATTATTTTCACTATTGGTTATTTTCTTTTTGTTTTTATCTCTCATTGTTACAGTTGACATGTTCAGTTATTTTTTTATATATATTGTTGGGAGTATTAGTATTAATATTTCTGCTGCTGCCATAACGGTTGTTAAATTTAGAAATTCATCATGTCATTTTCGTAATTCTGAAGTTAAATTTCGCCATTACCTTTCTCTTTTATCATATAAATATCTGAAGTCTTTCACATATATTTTCTCCTCCGTTCCTCTTTCTCATTCTTCTCTGCAAATCCTTTGAAAGCGTTGCATATGCATCTTGGCGCAAAACAAAGAAGGAGAAAACCCCTCCGAATAAGGAGATGAGGAGGAATGATAAAAGGAAGGAGAGGCAATAATTTACAACTGCCTCCCGCTAAGCTTCGCTGACGTCATTGCCCGGCGCGGTCGTGGGTGTGACGTCATCGGCGGGCGCGTTCGGGTTCTTGGTGTTCATGACGTCATGACAGGGTACGTTTAGGTGACGTCACTGCGGCACAAGGGGGGGATGCAA